GGAGTGTATTAATAATAAATGTGTGTAAGGAATGTTCGTGAAATTATTGGTACATGCGTGTAAGTTTGGATGTGTTAGTGTATGTATAGCTGTGTGCGTGAAGTATATGAGTATGTGTACTTTTCTGTGTGTGTATCTGCATGTATGTATGGGAAAGTATGTTTATGTTTTTGTTTTTTAATACAGTTCTGTGAACTCGTCTGGTTACGTACCTAACCTGTTTGCGTTTATAATTAGATATGGTAGTGAGTTTCATGGACTCATTACATTTGACTAACACATAATGTGAAGACCAGTCTACAACCTCTATCATAACCACAGATGGTTGTAGCTACATCTAGCAACATGAATTACAATGCTCAACGAAATTAATCTTGGTCAGTAGTTATATATAAACATCCGTTCCATTAGTGTATTCCCGATGGAAGTTTTTAAAAGTTTTAAAAATTCATAATTAAAATTAAATAGGTTTTGTACTATTGAACTTTGTAGCTATCACACATGTCCCCTGGACTTTGTATCTGACCCCCACCCACCTATTTATCACACATGACCCCTAGACTTTGTATCTGACCCCCACCCCCCTCCTATTTATCACACATGACCCCTAGACTTTGTATCTGACACCCCCACCCCCTATTTATCACACATGACCCCTAGACTTTGTATCTGACCCCCACCCCCTATTTATCACACATGACCCCTAGACTTTGTATCTGACCCCCACCCCCTATTTATCACACATGACCCCTAGACTTTGTATCTGACCCCCACCCCCTATTTATCACACATGACGCCTAGACTTTGTATCTGACCCCCTCCCCCTCCTATTTATCACACATGACGCCTAGACTTAGTATCTGACCCCCTCCCCCTCCTATTTATCACACATGACCCCTAGACTTAGTATCTGACCCCCTCCCCCTCCTATTTATCACACATGACCCCTAGACTTAGTATCTGACCCCCTCCCCCTCCTATTTATCACACATGACCCCGAACACTTTTCTTAGATCCTCGAGTCTGGCTGCGACGAGAAATCACGTGACCGAAGGTGTCCAGGCTCACCATCGTATTAAAAGATAAACTTGGCCTTCTGGTGCATTCGTTGCCATGACAACAAAAATCACATTGGTCTTGGAGTTGCATATGAACCGTGATAAAAATTGCTTTGACCTGTATCAGTGCTTATCTTGCACAGTTATTACAAATTTTTTTTTAACTTTAGCATAATTGTAAAATGGGTTTTTTTTTAAATAATAATATTAATAAATAATGTAAAGGTCTAATTTTAAATATTGGATTTTAAATAACATATTAGTTAATTATTTTAACATGGATTTATTTTTTTAACGTTACCATGACAACAATAGCCTGAAGATAGGACTGGTTATTGTGGTTGTAAGAAAGGAGGATATCCTTGTAATGGGGTGGGGGTGTCGGTTTGGGTGTCGGTTGGGGTGTAGGTGTAAGAAGGCATCACAATCAAACAAGTCAGGGGAAATCACCCTCTTTTATAAACCAACTGGATCGAGTCGGGTGGTTAGTTTTGTTATAAGGATTTAATGCATGGGTGTAGTTACGGAGAATTAACATTTCACGTGTTAGGGGATTAGTTTCATATCTACTTGTTCACACACATAAAAGCTCGCGAATAAAAACTCTACGTAAGACATGTAAATATTTTAAATGATATTTTGCATGAAATGTATCCATTTTCCAATTTCGAAAATAAATAATGTTCGTGATTTCTTTTCTCTATTGCGTTGATTTTTCTAAGTCCCTTTGATTTGTATGATTTACTTTTAAGTCTCCCCCACCTAAAACCCATTACGCAGTTCTATGATCAATATATTTTTCAGATCACCACTCTAAACGTAAGTCATTATTGTTTATGAACCTATCGCTCTTTGTACTCACATCTTATTATTTCCAACCACTCACCTGAAATATAAATCAAGTTTCGCTTTCGCAAAATTAATATAGAACACTGAAATGGAGACGTGTAAAATGAAAAAACAACAAAGTTTAGACCTCATCAAGCAAAAGAATTAAGTATATTTAGCAGGGTTAGTTAAATAATTTAACAATAATTTATTACCAACGCTGAAGAACACTACTACATACTTTTTATTAAAATGCTGTTATTTTGTTTTTGTTTCGTTTTTTTAAAAAAACGGCCTAAGTGAAAAAATGCCTCTGTGCCTACTGTTGTATTGAATAAATTGAATAAAAATTTTAAATTGAATTCCAATAAGTTTTAATAATTATTTAATAATTAAGAAGTTATTTGGCTGGAAAATAAAAGCTCTTCAGCGAAAAGGTAAGTCACACCTTTGAATTGTTTGTTGATTTTTATCTGATCTTAAGATTTACAAAATTATTTATTTTTAACTGACTTAAATTTTAAAGTAATTAATTAATTATATATACTCTTACCTTGTATTTGAGCGCAATATTCCTGGTAAGCATACAAAC